GTAGCTATGAAACCAGAGCTATTGCTATGAGTTTCTGTAACTTTTCTTGATCTCCCATGCCTCAGCGCTTTAGCCGTGAACCTGCAGCTTTAGCTCCAAGTCTCTGGACCCAAAAATGCACATTCCAGATTTCCACAGCTATAACTCCAAATCCACAGCTATAGCTGCAACTTTCTGACCTCCTAATTCCTTCCCAGATTTCCACAGCTCGAGCTCCAAATCCACAACTATGGCTGTGGAACTCTGTCTTCTCAATTTTTCTACAAAAATGAAGGGAAAACATTAAGATTTGCTACTACTCTTCTACCCTTTTAGTATACTTTGATTCTTCCAATTTAGGGGGTAAAATAACATATATAAATATCTACAATTACCAAAAAGAGTACCAAAAGTTGAGTGCAATTCATGCATAAAAGACACTTAACAACTTCCCCAACTTAATCTCTTGTTGGTCCCCAACAAGATACCAATCAAAAACCAAAAAGGACACTTCCTACCATGAGATTTCTTCTATATCAACAATAGGTAAACACTCAATCAATTCAGCATCATAAACCAATTTCTACTCATTGAGGTGCCCACAACAACAATATGCCCAACCACAAAAATTGCAAGGCAAATCATAGCATGAACATTACAAACCAATATTTGAACATACTCTCTCCACAATGGCTCTCCAGGGTAAGTGTTTCTCTCAATTCCAATCATCATTTCTATGAACATAAGCATTGATATCATCTCTTCAGTATTACTCTTTGAGAGAAAATTAGGGATCACAAGGACTTTTTTGAAGGTTGAGGGTTGATTGAGGCTTGGTTAACAAAGGAGTGTGGTTTTCCAGATTAACAAGGTTTAAACTCAAGAGAGTAGAATGAAAATGAACCAAACGCTCCATCTTGTTTACTCTAAATATTCAACTTCAACTAGATCTCTCAGCCCAAATTCTTCCTCTAATTACACAGCCTCTTTCCTTAAGATTCTCTGCCTAGATTTCAAGAGACCCCTTTCTCTTTTAAGACTATTTGTACAGGTGCTTGCTTATTTTTCTTTTGACTTGATTTTTTTTTGTTTTTATTTTTGTTTTTGTTTTTTTTTTGAATATATGATCATGATAGAATGAAACTAACAAGCACACTTGAATTTGAACAGTGAAAATGATGGAGGGGTGACTCTTCCCTTCAACTTTGCATTAGCTTAATTTCACCACTTTCTTTCAACCTGGCAATTTTTTTTTTTACCAACTACCCCAACTTAATCCCCAATTCATTTTCATTTACTCTCAAGAGTTTGGTTAGGGTGAAGAGTTGGTGTTTGGGAGAGGTTTAGGGTTATTTGAAGGTTAAGGCTCAAACAGGTTTTAAAGGATGGATTCAATTATGGCTGGCTGTTTGGCTTTAGGCTTCAAACAATTTTAGTTATTCACAATAGGATGCCTTGATCCTGTCCAAAACTTTCTCACAAGAGCAATCATTCAAGACTCAACCAATGTAAACACATATGCTATGATGATGGCTCTCAAAGTAGAAGTGTATATGATAGATGCATTGTTTAGTCTCTCTCACTCACTAGCTTGGCTACATGTTCAATTACTGATCTTTCATGCCATGCTAATCAAATATCTCACAACTTCATGATCAAACAAATTGGATGAGTACAACCTCAAAGCAAGTCTCAAAACAAACCATTTTAAGGTGAATCAAAAGATGTGTTTTGACTTTTTCGTTGATCTAAAAGTCATCTCATTTCCTACCTTTCAAGAATGATTTTCAATTTTTCTCAATTTTTTTTTATTGTTAATTCACAAAAAGTATATAAATTACCAGATAGTCCAAACAATTAACAAAACAGAAACTAAAACAACTGGAATTTAAAATGGCATAGAATTAAAGTGGAACTCCTCTTTCTCAGAACGAGGGTGACAACGACCCTCCATCATCTCCTTCTTTATCATTACCTGCTCATGCTCCTACTCCCCACCATGAAGTTGTTCGCCTTGATCTCCACCTCCTCCAAAAAATATAGGACTGTCCCCAGGCCACTTCAGATGGTGGTGGTGAGGTTGGTGCATCTGGGATTTTATGAGTGGCTTTAGAGCTTTCACCTGAACCGCCACCTCTTGAACGAACTATCTGAAAATTTGACAACCAATTCTTGCAACCAAGTTAATCCATAAGTTGATCATACAAACAAAACACAATTTTTCATGGGGCATAAGGAATGATCAATAAACATTCTAACATGTGAAGCACTAAAGTTATTTCAAAGCCACCAATGAACAAACAAATATTTCTTATTTGCTTCCATGATCAACCAACCACAATGATTTTACACTTTAAAATAAAGGACGCAAATTCACTCAAGCATTTGATCAAGCAATTGATAGGCATGATAAGGAAAAACAAAATGCATGTGAATTCTTTCCATTAAAGGCTTAAATTTCTTCACAAAAATGGAACATTTCAATGACCATTTCTTTTTCAAAGCGCTCAATATGCTCAAATCAATTACTCCTCCCATTCAAGCATTTCTTCGAACATAAAGCAGGCAAAAAATGAGGAGGATCATGCATGTGCAATATTGAAGAATCAAACACCCAAATTCAAGGATTGCATTCCATAATTGAACTATATCACAACTGCTTTAAAGAACTCAAAAAGTAACAAAATCATGCTTAAGGTTCAAAAGAGTTGAAAAGAGAAAGAAAATGTTTCATGCAATGTAGACAGAGGTAGAAAGATGGAGACTTTACCTTGAAACCCAAATAAAAGGTGAGTGCTTTGATGTTTAAGAGTGTGGTGAATGATGAAAAATGCAAGCTTTATAGAGAAGAAGTGAATGGGAAAGGAAAGACATGGGGAGAATAGAGATTGCACGAGAGAAACGAGAGTGAAAATAAAGAGGGAGAGGGTCAGTTTTGAAACTGACTGAAACTGTTCCAACTTATCTCATTTAAAGTTGCTTCGAGCCCCACAGCCATGGCTGCCAATTGAGCGCTTCAGCTGTGGATATTTAAAAGGGTGAAAAGCCTAGGCCAAGATTCAGTGCCATGGCTGTGAAAGCTGGCGCTCCAGCACTGGGAATTTGAATTTCAAGTGGGGTTCCAGGGAGCTGGCGCTATGGCTATAGCTCTCTGTGCTACAACTGTAAAATTGTTCATGCAAAAAGTCCTTGACAGAAACTTAGCGCCTTAGCTATGACGCTAGCTCTAGAGCGGTGGGATTTGGTTTCTCAAAAATTAGCTACACTACCTATCATTCACCATTCTATATTCCCCAAACTCACACTCCTTACCAAATATTTTAACTACCTGATTTATCATGCCACACCAAAAGATAGCCTAAGACACTCAATTGAATCAAGCTAAATATAATTAGCAAAACAATTACAACATACTATTAATCTTGCACGCACAAATGACTTTTCTCATGCTAACACAACAGACTCCAAATTTAAAACATTATAAAGATTAAACAACAAGCACTATGAAATCAAATATCACTATGAACTAACATACTTCACTACACATCACCAAAACACAAACAGACCCTCAAACAAAATCAGCAATCTTAACACACTTTAAGACAGTTCAATCCGTGTACAACATTCATTTTGAACTCAGCAATCTCTATGAACAAAAAATCTTAACTACTAACTCTTTTATTTAAAATGAAACTCAATTTAAACTGTAATTAAATATCAACATCAACAGAAACTCAACCAACAAATAACAAGCAGAATGAACTCAGACAAAAACATATTACAAACACATGTTATTACAGACCAGACTCTGAGGCTCCAACTGCTACACACAAACACACAATGAGCGCAAAATAAGTTGTCAATAGCTTTAACACATTATATATCATTCACATACACAACAACATGCATTATGAGACTACACTTAGTTATGAAAAAAAACCATTAACAATCACTATTCAACACACAATTCGAACCTTAACCCAAGAATTAAACCAGAACATGCTAATTTAATGGCTTTAGCTTGACAATTCATGTATGATCATGGCTCCTTCAATTGAGTGATGGTGGTGAGTCTTTCCACTTCACCACCCGAATAATGCTTGAGCCTCTGACCATTGACTAACCACGTCCTTCTAGAGGCAGGGTCTTCAAGTTCAATGGCTCCATATGATTTGACAGATTAAATTGAGAAAGGGCCTGACCACTTAGACTTGAGCTTCCTAGGGAAAAGCTTCAACCTAGAATTGAACAGTAATACCTGTTGGCCATGCTGGAAGTTCCTGTTCAAAATTTTTTTGTCATGATATATCTTAGCTTTGATTCTCTGCTTTCTTGTGTTTTCTAGCTACGTTAGCATCCAATTCCAGCTTCACTACTTGCTCTTTTTCCTCTTTCTTCAATTCTTCTTTTGACTGAACATTGGCAGAAGAGTTTTCTCTTTTATTTAGTGCATCAATAACATCTTGAACCTCTTCATCTATGACCTTATCCAATTCTTCATTAGAAATAAGCAAAGCCTTCTCAAGTAGCGATGAGCTCTTGAAATCATTTTGAGCTTCCAAGTACACATCATCTAATACATCAATTCTAAAGCAATCTTTGTTGCCTTTTGGACACTTCATTGCTTCAAATACATTGAAACTCACTTCTTCATCTTTAACCCTCACCTTCAGCTTTCCTTCATCCATGTCAATGATAACTCTAGTTGTCTTCATAAAGGGTCTACCCAATATCAAAGGAACTTCTACATCTTTTTCCATGTCCATGACCAAAAAATCAACTGGATACATGAACTTGTCAATCTTCACTATCATATCTTCCACTATGCCATGTGGAAGCTTAATGGATCTGTCTGCCAACTATAAGGTCATTCTTGTAGGTCTCACTTCCATTTCTCCTATCTTCTTCAGCATGGATAAAGGCATCAAGTTAATACTAGCTCCAAGGTCTAAGAGTGCCTTACCCACTGATGGATTACCAATTGATACAGGGAAAGTGGAACTGTCTGGATCTCTGGACTTCTAAGGTAGAGACTTCTGTATAATGGCACTGCATCCTGCCTCAAGCTCCACAGTCTCTTCTTCAAGAATTCTTCTCTTCTTAGTTAACAATTCCTTCATGAACCGAGCATAAGTGGGCATTTTCTCCATGGCTTCAGTGAAGGGAATATTTATCTGAAGCTTCTTAATGATATCCAGGAATCTCAGGAATTGCCTTTCTTTTTCTTTCTTGGAAGGAGCATGAGGGTAAGGTAAGTTTTTTACAGGAATAGTAGAATTGACTTCCTTTCCCTTCTTTCTATTCTTCTCCTTCTCAACTCCACTTTTCTCTCTTATTTTCTCACTATCTACATTCTCACTTTTATTGTTTTCTCCCTTATTCTTCTCACTCTCTTCCTCAACCTCCTTCAATTCACTATTTTCTTCCTTATTATCAACACCCTTATTGTTCTCACTCACTCCAACATCTTCACCAACTACCTTCCCACTTCTTGTTATTATGGCTTTGCAATGCTCCTTGGGGTTGGTCTTGGTATTGGCTGAAAATGGGCCTCCAGACATGTCAGCTAGTTGTACCACCTGCACCTCTGAATTCTTGATGGATGCCTCTGTGTTCGTCTGGTTGTTCATAAACACCTGCATGAACTGGTTCAGAGTATCCTCTAATTTGCTGGTTCTTTCATGCATAGATGGATAATCAGAACAGTGACCATTGGGATGATCTCCCCCACAAAAATCACACTTTAAAGAAGAATTTGATTGAGTTGAAGAAGAAGCAATAGCATGAAGCTGTTGTGGAACCTTGGCCATCTGCTTAGTCAGTGCTTCAATCTGTTGAGACAGTAGCTTGTTCTGAGCAAGGATTGCATCATTAGTACTAAGATCAAGAACTCCTCTTTTATGAGATTGATGTCTTCCATGCTTTGCTTGGTGATCAGAAGATGCCAAAGATTCTATGATTTGAGTAGCTTCTTCTGGGCTCACAGTCATCATGGTGCCACCAGCTGCTGCATCTAATAACATCTTCACCTCAGGCTTGATTCCATTAACAAAGAAATTGAGTTGAGCTATATCTTCATACCCATGGTTAGGACATTTTCTGAGCAATGACTTAAATCTTTCCTAAGCTTCACAAAATGGTTCATCTACACCTTGCTTGAAAGTAGTAATTTCTGATTTGGCCTTAATATACTTGGATGAAGGATAGAATCTATTCACAAACTTGTTTTCCACATCACCCCATCTTCTCAAACTTTGATTTGGGTGAGATTGTAACTGTAGTATCCGACCAGTGAAACCGAGCTCGGAGCTCGGCACCACGGCGCAGGAAGACCTTGGGTACGCATTACATGACGTCAGCCCGGCATCTAAGTAAATCATAACTGATCCTAAAGGATCTGGCCCCAGGCGAGATATATTATCTGATCTTATTATATTTTATCTCAGGCCCAGAGCCCAAAACAACCCTAATTCACACCAAGGTACGTGCATTATTTATATGAGACTCATACTCATACAAACCCTAACTTTAGCATCGGAGTCTCTTTTGCAGGTACCTCCCCCATCTCGGAGCACCAGCACATCACCAAAGGAAGCTCACTGATCTTACTGGACGGATCATCACTACGACCAAATTCCGGTAAGAACATTTGGCGCCCACCGTGGGGCCGATCACGACAGCTCTCATTGGCCACCTCTATGGTTTCTACTAGGAGCCACATCAGACGAGCAACGGACGACGTAAGCCACTCAGTCACCATGGATAGCGATGCAACAACATTGAGAAGGCTGATCGACCAGGTCGAATAGATGCGACAACAGCACGACGCCGACCTCCAGAACATGCGCACTCAACATGCAAACGATCTCGCAGCCATGCAAGCAGCCAACGAAGCAGAGCTCGCAGCCTTACGTGCCGAAAACGAGCACATTCGCTCCCAGCTCCCTCGACACCATTCCAACCAGCCTCCCCACGAGAGCAACACGCACGAGGAAGAGGCACATTCAGCCACCCAATCTCAGGCGACGACCAAGGCACCAACTTCGCGGCCTGCCACGCACCGATCTCACGCACCGACGTATAAGTCAGGGCAAGACACCAGCAAAGCCCCCACCCATGCTTTCGAAGGCCAAGAGCCCTTCCGCCGTCATCCTTTCGTGGACGGTATTATGGAGACTCCGCTACCCCGCGGATGAAAACCCCTCCACCTCGACCGCTATGACGGCACAACGGACCCCGACGAACACATCGATTCGTACACAACCCAGGTAAACCTCTACACTAACAGTGATGCTATACTGTGTAGGGCTTTTCCGATCTCACTTAAGGGAGCAGCACTTCATTGGTACACCCAACTACCCGCCGGATCCATCGACAGTTTCAACACACTAGTCAGGCGATTCATGGCGCAGTACGCCACCTGCCGACCCCATCACACTACCTCGGCCACCTTGGCCAACCTCCGACAGAATGACGACGAACCCCTGCGAACCTTCATGGAACGCTTCTCCAGCATCTCGGTGAGGATACGGAATTTAAATCCGGAGGTCGCCCTACACGCCATGCTCGTGGCACTCAAGCCCGGGCCATTCGTTGACAGCCTATGTCGCGCCGCCCCCCGCGCCATGGATGAACGCCGCGCCCGCGCAGCTGGATACATCCAGATGGAGGACCCCTCCGCCTTCCACGACCAGATGGGCGGAGAAATCCCGGCAAAGTCGGAGCAAGGGCATAAGGACAAGGGCAAGGTCAACAACGACAGGCATTTGAAGAAATCGACTAGAGCAAACCGAGGAGGGAGGTACGATTTCTACACTCCCCTAAACGCACCCAGGGTACACAGGCTGGAGGAAGCCAACAACAACAACTTGGTCGCCCTTCCACCACCGGGCAACACCCCCAACAACGCCGACACGTCCAAGCATTGCCGGTACCACAGGAACCATGGTCACACCACGGAGGAATGTCGCACGCTCCGAGACCGCATAGAAGAGCTCATTCAAGCGGGACACTTCGGCCAGTACATACAGCGACAACAGGGCAGTAGAGGTGGCCACGGAGGCCGGGGACGTGGCAGGAGACGAGGCTCAGGAACCCGTACCGATGCACCCCCGGGTCCCCAACAAAACGCTAGCGGCGCAGTACAAGCCGAGATAAGCCAGGAGACGGAATCAACCCCGTTACGAGGAATAATCAATACAATAGCGGGCGGCTTTGCTGGAGGAGGCGCCAGCAGCTCGGCCCGAAAAAGACACTTGCGGAACGTCAATTGCGTCCACTCAACCACCTCGGCCCTACACCAAAGTTCACCACCGATTTCCTTCTCCGACGAAGATTACGCCGGCCTTAGCCCTAACCAGGATGACCCCATGGTCATCGTTGTGGAGATAGCCAACTAGAAAGTGCAAAAAACAATCATCGATCAGGGAAGCTCGGCTGACGTCCTGTATTGGCCAACTTTCCTCAAACTAGACGTCCCCCACTCTCTCATTCAACCTCACACGGAGCCTCTAGTCGGCTTCGCAGGAGAGCGAGTCCATACTCGGGGGTACGTAGACTTGTTGACGACCTTCGGAACACCACCAGATACAAGACGGGTCATGGTCCGGTACCTCCTCGTGGAAGCCAATACTTCCTATAACATCATCATCGGGAGGCCGACCCTGAACCAACTCGGAGCGATCGTCTCAACTCCACACCTCACCATGAAGTTTCCAGGAAAGGACGACAAAGTTATCTCAGTCAAGGCTAACCAGAAGACAGCTCGGCAATGCTACGCCACAAGCCTAAGAATCTCCGCACCAAGCAAGCAAAGCAAGGGGAACTCCCTCACTAAGACCCTTAAGTTTTAACACCCCTTTTATTTTCAGCACGAACACACTATGCACTCTTTTCCCGCCTTAGTCCTCGACTGAGAGGGTTTTTAACGAGGCACACAAAAACTATCAATAAAATTACGCGTTTTGCACAATTTATTACCTCATCTATCGCTTTTGCATGAACGAAATCACGCACCCTAAGGGCCTACACTTACAACGTAAGGTCGAATACGAACCTTACAGGCTTATCCGAGGTCAAGTCTGAACCTCGCAAAATTTGTAAGGTCGAACACGAACCTTACAGGCCTATCCGAGGTCAAGTCTGAACCTCGCAAAATTCGTAAGGTCGAACACGAACCTTACAGGCCCATCCGAGGTCAAGTCTGAACCTCGCAAAATTCGTAAGGTCGAATACGAACCTTACAGGCTTATCCGAGGTCAAGTCTGAACCTCGCAAAATTCGTAAGGTCGAATACGAACCTTACAGGCTTATCCGAGGTCAAGTCTGAACCTCGCAAAATTCGTAAGGTCGAATACGAACCTTACAGGCTTATCCGAGGTCAAGTCTGAACCTCGCAAAATTCGTAAGGTCGAATACGAACCTTACAAGCTTACCCGAGGTCAAGTTTGAACCTCACAAAATTCGTAAGGTCGAATATGAACCTTACATGCTTATCTGAGGTCAAGTCTGAACCTCGAAAAATCCGTAAGGTCGAAAACGAACCTTATACACCTTTCCGAGGTCAAGCCTGAACCTCGTTAAACCCGTAAGGTTAAATACAAACCATAACACGACTCACTCAGAATCGCAAACGATCCTCACGAGATCATTTCACCCAAACCTAAGGACAAAATTGGAAAAACAGTAAAACCAGTCGCTCAAACCTAAAACGCAAGGTCGGGCATGAACCAAAAGCATGATCAAGCTTGCATACGAACTCCAGCGCATTTACTTAAGGTAACACACAAGTTCAGAGGTCAAAAATGGACCTCGACATCCAGCCCCAAGGTTGAGTACAAACCATTCACTAGAGTCGAGACCCCACTCTCAATACCGGGGTCAAGACCCCGACACGACCAACCTCAAGTCGGATCCAACCCTTGACTCCTGTATGGAGTCAACTGCGAACCTACACAATGATTACTTAATCAAAATCCGAGGTCGAATGCGAACCTCAACACGGCCCTCCAAGGTCGAGTTCGACATCCGTCCAGGGTCTAGTTCGAACTCCCACGCGAAATTTGAAGAATTCAAGTTCGATCCCGAACACCGACCTCGCCAACTCAAGGTAGAAGTATCACCACATACAGAAATATACAAACAGGTACCAAACGTGTACCTTAGATAGCGCGAACACCCCAAAATTAAGCGCAAAAATGGACGGGATAGAGCAAAATATATGCACATATATAAATAAGGTTCCAAAATTCATTACATAAACCCAAGCAAAAATTAAACAGGTCATTACAGAGGCAGCCTAAACTGAAGCACCCCCACTAGAGCTGTCATCGGCGTCATCCTCCCGAACCAACCTCCCAAAGCGGACGATTTTCTCCACATGCATGGAAGAGAAGTCGAATCTAGGAGCAAGAAGCTGCGCCTGACGAGCAGCCTTTTGGAAGCCCCTCTTGTGCTCAACCACGACGAAGCGCTCAACCTCGGCAAGCCTCCTCTCCACGACCGCCTTGCCCGCGGCCAGCTTGGTCAGCTCCGTCTTCAAGGCAGCAACCTCATCCTCGTAGCCACCCAGAATGACCTCGCTGTGGAGGCGCTCCTCAGAAGCCGCCGCCAACTCCTCCTTGAGGGAGGTCACAGCATCCTCCAACGCCCGTACTTCATCATGGGAAGACGTCACCTTGTCCTCCAAGGAGCAAGCACGTTTTATGGAGAAGGCAGCAAGCTCCTGCAACTCTCCCACCTGAGAAGCATAAGCCTCATTGAATCGCAACGCGATCTCAAGAGACTTTTGCGCCCGCGCAAGGTCACCCCGGGCAGATCGAAGCTCGACCTCCTGCCGCCTCGCCTCGCCAAGGGCAGCACTAAGGGCTTTATTTTCCTCCCTTAGGATCTTGTCGGCCTCTTTCCAAGGTTGGAGTCGCCCCCTCAACTTGGCCAGTTCTTCTTGCTGCCCAGCCAAAACCTCCTGCTGCTGGCCCCATTTGGGTTTCCAGTGGCCCATTATTCCCATGACCCTCTGCAGCAT